AAGACAGACATGGCCTATAACCTTAGCTACTCCAAAGGCTAAGATCCAGAGGATCAAGGCTCAAGGGCAGTCTAAACAGAAAAGTCCATTAGATTCCCTTTCCAAAACAGCCAGCAAAAAGTGGAGCTGGATGCATGAAAGCAAGCATTATCATTTAATGTTCATGTGAAGAAGTGATAGATACAAACCCAGATACATCCTTTCCACTTTGCATCTTATGATAAATGAGTCTGACTAGGTAAACCTGCTTCCACCCAAATTCGGACCTTGGCCATACAGAGTATACCAGCTTTCTGACCTAGCATGGAAGTTTAGCTTTTGATGGCTAGCTGTGGAAATGATACAAAGTCTGTTTCCTTGCGAAGGGAATAAGTGTACTCTACCCCCTCCAAGAAGTCTAAGCATCAGTGAATTACTATCATATTACATAGTTGGGAAACAATGGTAGCAATTGGAAGCATAAAAGATTGCCTGTGGCTGGGCACTGGTGGCTCACACCTATAATCTTAGCTACTTAGGAGGCTGAGGTGTGAATATCCTGGTTTGAAGCCAGCCTGGTCAGAAAAAGTATCTGAGACCCTTAACTCCAATTAACCACTCAAAAACCAGAAGTTATGCTGTGGCTCAAAGTGGTAGAGTGCTAGCCTTGAGCAAAGAGCTCAAGGAAAGTGCCCAAGCCCTGAGTTCAAGCCCCAGGACCCACCAAAACAAAACTACTTGGTCTTATAACCCCAGGGTTACACAAACAGGAGGATATTTAGTTTCAAATAATCAAATTAGTTAAATCAACAAACTTTTACTATTGGGAGGGTGGTTACAAAAAGAATCAGAGACTAATATCATCCTCAGGGCCAAAATCCTGTGGCTCCTCAGCACCATGATTTTGGTGCTGTCTTAACATTCGATCTGCAACCTCCAGTTCTTACAGATGGAACCTGGGCTACTGTAACCTGAATACAAATTTGATGCAAGTGAGGCATTCATAGGCTCATAGTCATCGCACAGGAAACTATGCAGCAGCACATGTAAGTGCTGTCTCCCAATGCAAGTGGCTGAATTCAGGCATTTAGTCAAGGTAGTGGCCAGTTATGTTGAGATCACTCAGATAGTGAATATTTGAAAATAATTATTTCATGATCCTGAGAAGAGACAACCATATGAAATGCACTATTGAAAGATCTATCTGCAAATTGTGCATGGGGTCTGATTGTATAAAGATTTGTTCATGAGTTCACACAAAAATAACCTCTAGTTTTTCTTTTTTTTTTTTTTTTGTCGGTCATGGGGCTTGAACTCTGGGCTTGGGCGCTGTCCCTCAGCTCTTCAGCTCAAGGCGAGCGCTCTACCACTTGAGCTACAGCGCCACTTCCGGTTTTCTGGTGGTTTATTGGAGATAGGAGTCTCACAGTCTCTCCTGCCCGGGCTAGCTTTAAACCGCGATCCTCAGATCTCAGCCTCCTGAGTAGCTAAGATTACAGGCATGAGCCACTGGCGCCCCGCCCTCTAGTTTTTCTAAATGCTGGATTCCAATCCCTTAAACTAACCATTCAAATTAGGTAGAAAAATCACTATGAAATAGAATCAATTAGCGTCATCACCTCACCCAAAGAGTGTCTAGAAACCCCTAGGAACTAGTATGAGGAGCACTGTGCCAGACACTTTCATATGCAATCTCAGTAATTATTTGGAGGTAGGAATTATGAGCCCCATATTATAAAGAAAGAACAGAGACACCAAGAATGGAAGTACTCAAATCCCAGCTTCTATGAATTCAAAGCCTGTACTCTTTTCACTAACATTTCCTGGCTTCCTCAATTGAGTCAGGAGAAAAGTTCATAGTAATTGTTTAGCTTTTAGACTGAAGGGGATAACACCTAAGCATAACAATAATGTGTTTTTTTAAAATGTGCACCCCTTCCCCAAGAGTGGAACACTCCCACTTAAGACATACCAGCACTTCTAAATAACTAGCTTTAACTGGAGTTTAGAGTCTCCTGGTCTTTCCTATACAGTCTGGCTTCAAACTCTTATCCTCAGATCTCAGACTCCAGAGTATCTAGAATTACAGGCATAAACCACTGATGCCTGGCATTAATACCAATGAAAAAAATAGCTAGAAAAGCAAAAAAAATCCAAATTTGAAAAATTGATTTTGAAGTAAACAAAATCCCTAAATATAGATTGGAGAGTTGGATTGGCAGAAAAGAATGTGCCAAGTATTTTTAAGAATCAGTTGTGGTTCTGGCATCCAAGAAAACTCGACAATTTTAACTATTATTGACCTCTCTAACAGAACCGATGAATCATGGGCTTGCTTTTTACTCTTTGCTCCAACAACAGCTTGCACTAGTCATTAAACTTGTGCTTCAGCATAACCATCATTAAAATAAGAAGTAATAAAGTGAATCTATGTCACAGAGATATTTTAAAGAACAAATACTCTTAATGACAGCAATAACACTTTGAGATCTCGAAAGAATGCCACTGCAGTAAATATGTGGCTAACTCCATCCATGCATCCTAAATGGAAAACACAAAATCCAAGATAATTATCCCATCTGACCAATCCTTAGGGTTTGAGAGTTCTGTTGGACTCTTCTATGAAACAAGAAAATAGCTCTTGAGTGCATAGTCAAAGCAAATCAGAGATATCTGAGGGTTATGACTTGCCAAAGCCATGCTACAATGACTCATACATTCACCCATCCATTCCACAAATATCTAATTGAGCACTTTGCATTAGAATTACATCCCTTCCTTCCCTATGGAGTCAAGAATAAACCTGGACACAGCTTAGGCTGACTATGCCAGAAAATCATCTCCAGCCTATGGACTGATGGTTCAATGCAAAAAGGCAGTTAGAAAATCCTCTTCATGCTTTACATCGTGGTCACATATACCTACCAGGTACAGTTTTTCCATTTCTTCCAGATTCCCCTTAATATACACACACATACAATGGTTCCACACTCGCCTATTGGATTATACTATTTGAATATATTCCTCTGTCTTCTATGAAATCTTCACATTTGTTTCTGCTTTCTTTCATTAGGCTGTAATAAGCTCCATTCCCTAGGATAAACCTGCTCTAAAACCCATTTGTGGCTGGTACTCTTCGTGAGCTGCTGCCAAGCTGGTGGGAAGCTTCTCAGTGACTCCATCTTAGCTGGATTGCCCACAGAGCCTAACACTGCACTTGAGGTGCAGCTTGGGGGGGGCTCTAATGCGGCTGGAGAGCAGAGAGTTTACTGAAGAAGGGTACTATGACCCTAATGAAAGGAAAAGCTTAAAAATACTAATGATATATAAATATATATACATATGAAAAATAAAGCAAGAACACATTTATTTGTTTGTAATCCAACACTAAACTACTATAGCCAAAGACAAAAACATAGCGGCATTTCTCTGTCCATCAAGTCCCTCTAAACCAATGTCTTCAAGCCCTTTGGTGGCTTCTGCCATCTCTCCCTACCCCCCTTCCTCAGTGCAGGCTGCCTTTGATACTTATTCTGACCTGATTTCAATTCCATCTGGTCAAACATGCTGGGAGGAGGGGGAAGAGAGGAGAAAAAGCATATTAGGATTTGTTACTGGGGCTAGACCAAAGCCCTAGTGTCCCAGCCACCCTGCAACACGCCCCAAGGTGATGCTGTAATTTACAAAAAAAAAAAAAAAGAAAGAAAGACAGAAAGAAAAAGAAAAGGAAAGAATTGGAAAGCTCAAGCCTGAACTGCCTGAAAATATTTTCTCAACATCTTCAATTTGTGAGTCCCCATCCATTTGCAGCTCACGTTGAGGGTCTCTGGAAAGGTCTGCAGTGGGTTCCAGGACAGCAATTAATTCCTCTCAATGACTGAGGCTATTCTTCCTGGTCTGTGCCCTACAGGAAGCCCCCCTCCCTTTCTCTCTCCCTTCCATTTCTCCCATAAGCTTATTTCTTGACCTTGAGAGCCCAGTAATGTGCTCCCTTTCCTTTACTAGCAATCAGGCAAAGGCTTCCAGAAGCAGGTCCCCTTCTGCTGGGGCGGGGAAAGAGAAGAGGCAATGTGACAGGGGGATTGGTGAGACACAGAAAGTGCTGGAAACATCCCTTGCCATCATCTCCTAGTACTCCACAAGCGAAGAGCAAGTCCTCATCACGCCCAACTGAAGAGAGCAGCCCAGCCCCCAGGTTGCAGAGCTGTTTTGGCCTGTCACCTTCGGTGATTCCAACTCTGCATAGGGGGAAACCTGCAGAGGGCAGCGCCCTGGACATCCTCCGGAGGGAGGCAAGGAAAGGATTATGGAATGTTTTGTAGGAAAGAAGGGCAGACTTTACAGATTTTTCTAGGCTAGCCTACATATAAAACAAAATAAAACACAGCATCCCACTTTCCCAAGAGGGAAGGGACAAAAGTAGGAACTCGGTGACCTTGATTTGGGCGAAGACTTCTTTGTGTTTCAGGTCCAGATCATACTTATTTGGCTATAAGAATACAGTCAGCTCTGCACCTGGAATGAGGACTATCTAATCAGCCCTACAAATTGCTTGTTTTAATAGCCCATTCTCCCCAGCTCTTCTCATCTTCTTCCTTTGTTTCTCCCTGAAAGAAATAAACTCTCTAGCTTGCTAAACTCTTAGCTCTAGGGGAAGGACTCACACTCGCAAACTGGTGGCTAGGACTTTTGATGTGTGCTAGAAAGAGGAAAGGGCTCAGGCCAATGACAGGTGCTACGCAGGTCTCAGCCTGCAGGTTTGTTGGAGGGGCTGTCGCTTGGCAGCCCCTCCCCCAACTGGCATTCAGTAGCTCCAAAACAGTTGCTCCCGGCATAGCCCACAAATGAAATCACGTTTGTCCAGCTGCCCCTTCTGAGCCGCAAAGTTGTAGGGAGAAGGGAGGGCCCTGGCGTCAGGGTAGAGGTTAAGGGAATGGGACCATAGACGAGAAGGAAGAAGGAGAGAGGTATTCAGTAATCCCATGGGGGTGCGACCCTCATCACCCGTTTACATCACTTACCATCTCACTGTAAGCATCCTTGCTGAGCCTGGGGGTCAATTTGATAGTCCCCATGAAAACAAAGAAGAGTCCCAGGGCCACAGAGAGGGCCACGATAGTTATGGTTCTGGGGGATGCCATGGAGTCACCAAGGCAGGTCCCAACTAATCCTTCTGCTTTGCGCACCCAGTTGTCTAGGGCGCAAGCAGTTCGCACAGGCGGAGCTGGAGGGACGCTGCGGAGGCAGCAGGCAGCTAGAATGACAAAGGGAGAGGAGGGAGCAGAAGAGAAAAATTGAGAGAACGAGATTCAACCACTCTCACTACAATAATCGCTGGGTCCTAATGCCCTACGCTTGCGCCTCCCAGGCCAAGGGGACCATCTGGAAGTTAAATGTAGCTCTAAACCGAAGCGGGAACTTCAAGTCTTAAACGGAGAGAAGGCAACTTATTCCTAGAGTTCAGTCACTGAATGACCTCTGGAAAGAGGAATTAAGGAAAACGCCACCCCCTCCTTTTTTTAGCCACTTTATTAGGCAGGTTTCATCTCCCCCTTCCCACCTATCTTATTTTCCCCATCTCTCTTCTTTCCCCTCAGTCAAACCATCAGTTCTCAATCAGTCCTTGATTCCTGCCACTGGCAACACTCACTAGACACGTTGAAAATGAACTATATAACTTGTGGGGGAGGAGGGGTCAGGAGGGAAAAACTGGGACAAAACTAGGGAAGAGGTGACACTGTTCAAAAAGAAATGTACTGGTTACTTGACCTATGTAATTGTAACTCCTCTGTATATCACTTTAACTATAAAAATAAAATTCATATAGTATAATAACAATAAAAAATAAAAGCTCAAATTTGTCAGGCCCCATTACAGCCAAGGAAGATTTAATTTCCTCTCCTAAAAAACCTTTAATGCTTGCTTTAGCTTAGTGGTTAACTCGAACATTTTGAATTTGGCATTCAAAAACCTTCACATTGGGGCTGGGAAGGTGGCACAGTGGTAGAGCGCTTGCCTTGCATGCATGAAGTCCTGGGTTCGATTCCTCAGCACCACATAAGCAGAAAAAGCTGGAAATGGTGCTGTGGCTCAAGTGGTAGATTGATGAAAAAACAAACAAAAACCTACTATCCCTGCTTTTGATAATTTGATCTCTCCCATAAGTACTATCCTGATTCCCAGATAGATCTGATGTTCTCTTCCTCAAATTTTCTATAACATAAAAGCAATATTTTGACTGTTCAGTAGTTACCCTTTAATTCATTTAATCTAACAGCTACGTAGATTAAATAGATTTCTTTATTTTTTTCCTTGGCAATACTGAGGTTTGAACATAGGATCTTGTACTTGCTAAGCAAGGGCTCTTATCACTTGAGCGATGCTTCTAGACCCAGGCAGTTATTTCTAGTGCCCAGGCTTGTAATTATTGTTCTGCTTCCTGCCTCTCATAATATTTTGGCCTTATCATATACTAGTTATTGCTTAGTACTATCTAACAGAGAGAGAGGGAGAGAAAGACAGAGACAGACAGAGAGCAGAGAGCAGAGAAAGTGTTGTCAATGCCAGAAGGTTCAGACTTTGAATACCAGACCTGCTGCTATGTAATCTTGGATAAATCACTCAACTTACCTGAGCCTCCATTTCCACATTTATAAAATATAGTTGAACATTCTTACCTCAAGGTTGTTAGAATTCCAAGTATGCAAATTGCCTAGTGTAGAATCTAAAATAAATAATATATTATATTGACATATTATATATAATATGTATACATATAAGGTATAAAAGTATATAATAAATATATAATGTGTATATACATTCAAATATATAACATCATCTAATATAATGCATATAAATCAATGGATTTAATTCTCACTTCTTCCACCTTTCTGAGCCACTATACAAAGAGATTAGTTTATCATCATTTTAAAGTCAGGAACCTCTTCTATATATGCCCCCCCAATAGTACTTAGAATAATGCATTTTGTGCACTACAACTAGAAGAAACTCTTGTGAGGAGGTTGGGGCAGGGATTGATGCATTTAGATGCAAATACTGCTGAAGAGGTAACACTAAAATTTAGGAGTCGTTATCATCTTGATGGCAGAATTTCTAACTTTTCTTGACAAAGGATACTAAATTACTGAGTGCTCACAATGAATTCAGAACAAACAGTACCAGTGACTCATGTCTATAATTCTAACTATTCAGGTGGCTGAGATCTGAGAATCGTGGCTCAAAGCCATCCTGGGGAGAAAAGTCCCTGTGAAGCTCTTATCTCCAACTAACCACTCACAAACCAGAAGTGGTGCTGTGGCTCAAGTGGTAGAGCACTAGCTTTGAGTGCAAAGAATTTCAGGGACAGTGCCCAGGCCCTGAGTTCAAGCCCCACAGCTGACAAAAAAAGAATTAAGAACATAGAATACACACATAAATGAGACATAGACCTTGTTCCTCATGGGCTTATTGTTGTGTACAGACAATTGATTTCTTACATCAGCAATATTTACTTTCATGAAAATTAAAAAGAATTGAAAAAAGTCACCAAAGTATGAAATATTTAACTTCCAAATATCCTATATTGACCAAGGCAGTAAAATGAGCACCTAAGGAAGACTATTCACATAGTTAGCAACTATAATATTTTCTTTCCAAATGATAATGGAAATAGTACAGATTTATTAAAATGTATAAGATACTAAATAATATAAGAAAATATAACACATTATCCCACATTGATGTTATAAACATAATTAATACTTTAATTAGCCTTTTCCTTAACCAACTCTATGAAACAAATGTATATAAATTTGCTTTTCAAAATTTGAATTTACCAATAGATTTTATGCAGAAAGCCAATCAGAAAGATGAGCATTGGCCAGATGCCACTGGCTTACACCTGTAAGCTTAGCTACACAGGAGGCTGAGAACTGAGTACAGCCAGGACAAGGAAGTCCATGATACTTAATGCCAATTAACCACCAAATAAACCAGAGGTGGAACTATAGTGAAAAGAGTAGATCACTAGTCTTGAGCATAAATGTTCAAAGACAGAGCGTAGGCCCTGAGTTCAAGTCCCAGGACCTATTAAAGTTAGATTGTAAAATAATAATAATAATTTTTTTCAGGTAAGGGGTAGGTTTATTCATTGTTCCAGATGGCACCAGGCCATCTTGGTCCTCCACGTGGTGGGAAAAGGCCTGGGAAAGAGAGCTGGGAGAACTGGGAAAGAGAGAGCTGGGAAAGAGAGGAGAGTTGGGAAAGAGAAGAGAAGGAAAGAGCTGAGAAAGAGCTAGAAAAGAGCAGAGAGAGAGAATAATAATAATTTTTAAAGGGTGCATAAAACATTTGAATGGACCAGAACTCATTTATTTTTCTACTGCTAGATTTGCTAGACGTTGATGTTGTTTCCGTGTTTTTCCCCCTCTGACAAATATATAAATCTTTGTGTAAATGCTAAAACTGAATGGATCAAAATTATGAACTTTTAACATGTACATTTATATATAATATATTCGCATATGTATTTTAAATATTAGCTAATATTTATCTATCACAGAAGATATTGGACACTGTGCATATACTCTGAAATTAATATTATTAATTATGGAGGAGGAAACTGAGCAAGAAGTGCAGAGATTCCCTAAATCCAGAGCAAGGCCAACACTTCTCAGGATATTCATCTTAAACCTGTTCTATTTCTCAGTGTGTTGCTGCTGCTGCCTCTTTATCTCAAAACTATGATTGCTGAAAGAACTCTGGGTACACCATACCAAATTGCTTTCCAGGAAGAAAATGGACATCAAGAGCATAGGGGACTGTGAGCTTTACCACATCAGATCTGCATTAAGTGTTTGAGGGTATTTTATATCTTCACCAACTCCATTCAATAAAAAGAACAAAAGCTGCCAGGGGCCAGTGGTACATGCCTGTAATCCTAGCTACTCAGAAGGCTGAGATCTGAGAATCAAGGTTCAACGTTCGCTTGGGTAGGAAAGTTTGTGAGACTCATCTCCAGTTAACCACTAGAAAGCCATAAGTGGAGCTGTGGTTCAAGTGGAGGAGTGCTAGCCTTGAGCAAAAAAGTCCAAGAATAGTGCCAAAGCCCTAAGTTCAAGCTCTAGGACCAGCAAGTGTGCACACACCACACAAATTTCTTTCTACACTCATTTCAAAATTTTCCTCTTTTCCTTATACTTTGAGTTTATTTGCTGTTAATACTGTCAATTCTGTTCTCATTGGTTTTGATGTTCCCTTTATTGCATATCAGCTTCTCATTTTTACTAACTCCTTTTCAAGGATGAAATAGAACTTTGTGATAGATCTCAGGCTGGTGTTGAACTTGATATTACCCTTCCAGAGCCTCCCACGTATGATTATAGGTGTGTAGCACCACACCTGACTACTGCCCTATTTATTACTTTAGGTGAACTATAGAATTTTTCATGGAAGCAAGATGATTTTGAGTTTCCACTGTATGGAATTAAACATGTAATTAATTTTTAAAATTTGATGACTTACACAATTTAATTCTACCATTTGGAAATAAGGCATCAACTTCCACTTTTTCAAATTCTGGTTGCTGAAAGGTGTACACATCTTTGTTCCCTGGATTACAATTTTATTTTATTTTGTTATTTTGGTTGTTTTTGTTTTGACACAGGGCCTTGATATGTTTGTCTTTTTTTTTTTTTGTCCGTCATGGGGCCTGAACTCTGGGCCTGGGCGCTGTCCCTCAACACTTGAGCTCAAGGCTAGCACTCTACCACTTGACCCACAGCTCCACTTCCGGCTTTTTCTGTTTATGTGGTGCTGAGGAATCGAACCCAGGACCTCATGCATGCAGGGCAAGCACTCTACCACTGAGACACCTCCTCAGCCAGGACCTTGATATCTTATTCAGGATGATCTCTCAACTTGTGTGCTTAAATGATCCTCTAACTTCTGTATCATGAGTAGCTGATCTGCGGGCATGCGCCACTGTGACTACCTTTTTATTTTACTCTTAATTAACAAATAATAATTGTGTGTGTACATGTGTTTGTATGTTACAATATAATTTTGGTAGTAGAGTAGTGCTGGGTTTTGAACTCAGGGCTTGCTAGACTGGCACTCCACCATTGAACCATGCATTTGCCTCTGCCTTTTGCTGATTATTTTACATGGCTAATAAATTAGAGTGAGGGCTGGGAAGGTAGCTCAGTGGTAGAGCGCTTGCCTTGCATGCCTGAGGCCCTGGGTTCGATTCCTCAGCACCACATAAGCAAAAAGAAAAAAGCCGGA